AACCAGCAACACACTTGCAAAACGGCTCCGATAAAAAAAACTGCCCTGCCGGGCCAAGACGTGTCCCAAGATCTCCGGCGATCTATATGCTCGATCTGGGCGTTGTTCCTCGACTTCGGCCTCTGGAGCCCGCCATCGGGCCCCCAGAACGTCAACAGAAAGATCCGGAACCTCTAGGGCCGCCCGTATGGAAAAATGCACGCGCACACACATCGTCGGATGTCAGGGTCCGCAGGCCTCCGAAGGCCTTCGGATGCTTTCAGGGGCCTGAGCACGTCCAAAGACCTCGGTCCTCGGCCATCGACTCTCGACGACGACGGACGACGGACAATGAGAAAGCGGACGAGGACGAGGACAAGGACGACGAGGGCGAGGACGAGGCTGAGGACGAAAACGACGATGACGCCGACGCCGACGCCGACGCCGCCGCCGACGCCGACGACGACCGCGGCTCTGGCGCGCGCGCAGCGGCTCCGACCCCGCGGGGCTTCCGAGGGCCTCCGACGGCATCCGTGGGCCTCTGGGGGCTCCCCGAGACCTCTGACTATCCGAGGGCGCCGCCTGACGCTGCCGAGGGGGCGGCCGAAGCCGACGACGACGACTTTGACGCCGACTTTGGCGCCAACGACGCCGACACCGACGACGACGACGACGAAGACGACGACGCCGCCGCCGACGCCGACGGCGGCGCCGACGCCGACGCCAATGCCGCCGACGACGCCAGCGACGACGACGACGACGACGACGACGATCGGCTCGGCAGCGGTTGCCATCTCAACGGCTCCTTGTCCTTCTTCTTCTTCTGCGCTGGGGGCCTGCGCGGCAACGCCCGGGCGTCCTCCGTGTCCGCCATAGCTCCTAGTGGGGCGGGGCCGCTCTGGCGAGAGCGGCGAGCCCGGCCGCGAGACGGGTGCAGAGCCGACGCGGCTAGGGCGACGGCGGCGACGACAAGCCTAAAACGAAGGCAGAAACGAGACACAATAGTGTAGGACCGATACAAATCAGACATCTCAGATAATTGGCGGGTTTGGAGGATGTATCGGGCGCCGCGGCCGTTTCAGAGCGTTCCAGAACGCTCTGGAACGGATTTATATAGATTCTAGGCCCGTCCGAACGGCAGCGACGACAAGCCCTCGGGGGAGGCGAAGTGCGCGGACGCCCAGAGCGCGGGCGCCTCCCAGAGCGGCGGTGCCTGGGTCCCCCGTGCAGCACGAGCGGGCCACGACGAGGCCGGCGCGTCCAACGCCCACGAGTCGCCCGCGCGGGCCGTGCGAGCGCGCGCGCGCCTCGACCCCGCCGCCGTGGGCTGGGTGCGGCACCCGCGCTCGACTCTGTCTCGAGTCAGGGCGCAGTGCTGCGAGGCGGCGACGGCGATCGCCCACAGTGGCACACGGAGGGCACGAGCCCTCCTGCTGTCCACTCTGTGCGGAGGTTGGCACTTCTAGCTGGGCGCGAAAGGCAGCAGCGGCGGACGGCTGCGAAGAGGCGGCGATGGCGATCGCCCGCGGTGGCGCAGTCCAGCCACCCACTCTGTGTTGGAGCTTGGAGGCGGCCAGGGGAGCTGGTTGGACCCCGAAAGAATCTGTCAAGAGGAAGGGGTGAACGCAAGTCCACGCAACATCGGACCAGGGACTGGTGTGTAGTTTTTCACCCTGGATCCGTTTTTGACCGTCCTGGCGCCCGAACGTTCACGGCACCTGAAGGCCGAACGCGTGAAAAAACCTCCCTGCACACAGAACCTCGGACCATCCCGAACCTCTGACAACTCTTTCCTGCTCGCAGGAACCAGTGGTGGGCCACCTCAGACCCAGCGGCGACTTGAACTCGGCGGCGAGCATGAGGGGGAAGTGAGGAGGAGGAGGAGGAAGAGGAGGAGGAGGAGGAGGAGGAGGAGGAGGAGGAGGAGGAGGCCTTCTCAGAAGGCGGCGGGGCTTCTCAGAAGCCCTTCGGCCTCGTGAGAAGCTTCCTGTGTCTTCGAGAAAGGCTTCGAAAAGTGCTCAGAAGGCCCGAAGCCTTCCGAGCCTTCTGAGAAGGCCCGCCACTTCTCACTCCCCCCCCCAGGCTTGCCGCCGAAACGAACTCCAGGGCGCGCGCGCCGACATCCAGGGCGAGTTCGAAACCTGCGCCGCCACGGAGGCTGAGGGCGTCCTCGACGCACCCGGGCGAGGGGGGCCGCGGCGCCGGCGACAGCGGCGCGAACCCCTACGCGTACTCCGCGCCTCCCGCGGCGCCGGCAGCATGAGAGGGCCGTTGAAGAGGAGAAGGAGGAGGAGGAGGAGGAGGAGGAGGAGGAGGA